TTCCCTTTCTCTTCCACTTCCCTTTCTCTTCCACTTCCCTTTCTCCTTGCTTCTTCTTCACTTCCTTTGCTTTCTTCTCGCGTGTTATTTTGATTCCATCTCCACAAGGAGCTTTAAGAGTTCTATTTTGAAGCTCACATCTACAGTATTCGTCCACGGGACAGCCTACCAATATGCAATATTTGTCGGTAGAATCCGTGAAGCTCTTTGCCCAAGAAATTCCACAATCCCATCTTTAACCTTGACGGCGAGTCCAAAGATGTCTGCATTAACAGATGGACAGAAGAGTGTAACGTTCAGCAGAATTCCTTGCCAGAAAGGCATAGAGGAATCTAATTGGGAACAGTTGGACTCACAAGCAGCGTGGGTCTATGGTTGGTTCGGATGGCACCAAAAGAATCCGGACTCAGTAAGTCCTTCTATAGCAAGTGACTCGCACAAATATACCCGCTAACATTCTGGTTTGTTCGGTGGATCATGGACATTCAAGTCGCAAAAATGTCAACAGAAGTAAAGACTGGTCGTCGCGAGGTTCCGGTGGACAATGATAACACATTAAATCACATCGTTTCCCTATACTAAATCTACATCTTCCCCGACATCAACAACAATGTCTTCTGAGATCATTACTGTGACCTAGAGAACTTGGCTACTGGCAAATCAGGAGTTGATAGATCTGTTTAAGCGAGCGAGGGACCTTGGGTTGTCCCCATTTACTGTCGTTGACACCTATTACATTTATACATCTGCTGTCACACTTTGATTAATCTCGAAGGAAGCTCTCCTCTTGAAATACCATCCCGGCACTAGCCAAACTCTCTGATTAGTTCTAATTATATGTCACCTATGCTTAGTCCTGGAGAGTTAACCCCGGTAGCCTCCTCTCCACTAAGAAAAGCTACAACTCACACTTGCATAGATCCCAGAGCTGACTGTGAGCGTGGAACCTAGCGAGTAGTATATATCGTATTGACCGCATTGCCAGATAACCCCATTGCTTTGAGACTCTAGTTCGGGTTTCATTTCCTCACTCATAACCATCCAACACAAGTTGCAAGTGGTATTACTAGTCGACCATTGTTTGTCGGTAGTTGCATTTGAATATGTACCTCCATAGCATGCCTTCATCTTTCTTACTATCAAAATACTGTTCAATCGTTTCCTGCTTTATGCCTATCCTTTTTCGCGTTAGAGGCATGGTATTGCGGCCCCTATAACTGTCCTATATATTATTCATCATTCGATCTGTAGAATAGACCTCCGACTCTCAAACTCAATTCCAACACATAGAAAGCTTTCGGCATTTGAACTTCAACCTCTCCCGGCTACGCGGCATATAGCTCAAGGGAAACTTCCCGAGGTTGGGAACGGGAACGGAAGGGGTTCCGCTTTCGTGAAATCCCTTTATTTCTCCAACAGCATATGGTCAAGGTATTGATTTCTTGGTTTACCAAGTTATGACCTCGAAATGGTCTGAGAATTATTGTGGTAGTTAAGCTGCAATTCTTTTCTTGTTTTACTACATTTCAAACCTGGAAGACCCCGATCCACCAAAATATGCAATCTCATCGGTCCCCGCAGAATTCATGCTGCGATTGCGGAGATAATGCGGGGGGTTGTGGGGTGCATTCCGGGGTTGTGGTGGGTTTTGCGACGCTTCTAGGGGTATGTGTGATGAAATTGTCTTCAATACGACGTCATATCGGTTTATCGGCTATTGCCAATAATCGCCCCAACTCAATACCAAGACACTGTTGTTGATACTATCATGAAAGCCAAGCGAGCCAAGAAAGCCAAGAATGAGGGTTTATATCGTATTCTAGAAGATGAGATGAAATGAGCGTAGGAGCAAAGTTTATAGATTGGTATAGCCATTCGATCTGCCTCTGTCGGGTGAAGCGAGAATATTCGCAACGATTCTTGATATACGCTATCACTGATGGATCTTCGGATTGTCAAATACCGACTTTGGATACCCGGGATGAATATAAATATCAGGAACAAGCCACCCTAACAAAACCAGGAATAACCATATCAAATCACCACTGAGTTTTGTATTCACCATGTTGTTCAGTATCCCCGTACTTCTATCCACGGCTACATTTATAACCTCTGGGAAATGCAGCTCCAAGACTATACCGGTCCCATCTTGCCCAAAGAACAGCAGTCCGGTCCCCAATGATTTGCAATCAATGTCAATCGAATTTGCATACTTTCCCGACTATGCTGGCAACAAGTCACAACCAAATCAGTTCTCGAAGAACTTGCTTCACAATCTCAAATCTCTGACTGGCGTTGCTCCGAAAGTAAGAGTCGGAGGAACCTCACAGTATGTTGAAACATATTCTCGATCGCAAGTGCTTACGAGAATTTACTGATAGGGACCATGCTACGTACTTCCCTGACCAGGAGGAGAATGTACAGCTGATCTATCAAAATCCCACTGATGATCAGCCAATCCAAATCAATTACGGTCCTACCTTTTTTGAATCATATCACACCCTAGGAGATATCAGGTACCTGCATGGGTTGAACATGGCTCAGAACAAGTCGACTCAATTGCTTGAACTTTCGGCTGCGGAAGCCTGTACATCCATCGGCCCCCAGCTACATCTCTTTGAGCTGGGTAACGAGTTCAACTTCGCCCCCGGAACATATCGCCCTACAAACTACTCACTGCTTGATTATGTTGAAGAGTGGAACTCCAAGTCGGTCATTGTCAAATCTGCAGTACAGAAAGCCTGTCCTGGTCCTTTCCCGGGGTTCATGGCACCTAGCTTCGTTTTACTGGATTTCATTGACGATACTACCTGGACTGCCGAGGACCTATACAATCTTGGATACGATAAAGATGATCTGACCAAAGAGCTATGCTTCCACAAGTCAGATACCCACTATTATTCTTCTCCTTTTACTTCGCTGACTTTTAGAACAGCTATATGGGTGTTAACGAACCTCCTCTTCCCCCTGCGGATTTGGATCTCCAGCGTATGTCTATCCGCTCTGTACGAACCGAGTAATGCTGACAACGACAGGGACTTTGATGAATCACACAAACATTGTGCGCAATCTTGCAGAGCAGATCACGCGATCTAAGAACCTTGCATACCTCGGCCTCCCTTATACCCTCGGTGAGCTAAATTCGATTGCAAACCAGGGCGTAAATGGAGAGACGAATGTGTTCGGTGACGCTCTGTGGCTGGTCGACTTCTCCCTCTGGGCAGCGGTACACGTAAGAGCCACCCATCTTTCCCATACAATTTCCAACAAGGCACTGACATTGAGTAGGGAATCAAGCGACTGCAGTTCCACCAAGGGTTGAACTACCGTTACGCTTCGTGGCAGCCAATCGAGAGCAAGGGGGTTCCTCCAACCACTAGACCCCCGTACTACGGTCAGGTCATGGTTGCCAGTGCCATCGGACAATCCAAGGACACGCGCATTGTGAACATTCCGCTGTCGGAGGATACAGAGTCCGCATATGCTATCTACAATGGAGATCGACTGTCAAAGCTGGTTGTGACGAATCTGCGGGCTTTCAACCAGACTACGTCGGATCGTCCTCACAGGGAATACACATTCCACGTCCCTACACAGCATAAAAGCGCAATGATCGAGCGTCTGATTGGCCCAGGCAGCGATGCGCTTGATAATATTACTTTCGGTGGTATTTCATATGATCATGGCTTGAAAGAGGGGAAGCCGGTCCAACAGCATGCGAACGAAGAGACAAGGATCGTGAATGGGCTGCTTACAATCACAGTTCCGGACTCTTCCGCTGTTCTCCTCACTTTATGATTCGCTCAATTTGGACTGTGCAGGGGATCAAACTATAGATAGCTCATATATAGACCCTATATCGTAATATCGCACATATAGCCGTGAGTGCAGTTAAAAGGTGCAACGCAACGGTCCTTCGCATAGCCTTATGTCCAAGTCTAGAATCCATTTAAAAATAAATTCTCAGATTGAACAAGATAACAGTGTCCAATTTTAAATTGAATCAGCCGCAGATTAACAAAAGCGCAAACCGACATGCCAAGCAGCTAACCAGTTTACGATAGGGCTAAGGAGACTAGACTGGGCCCCTCCAATTTGGCCCCCAGGGCTGGCACCAGGACCTCCTTTTCCCTATTTTTAATGTAGAACGCTCTTGATTTAAGACGCTTGTCGTCGTTTTCCTTTTTCTTTTGGTTTTTTTGGTTTTTTTTTATCCACATCCCACCATGGCTTCGTCGCGGGAGTCGCAGCGCTCACTGCTATCCGAAGATTCGATCGACGCTCCACCCCAACGTTCTTGGAATCCACTCAACAATCGCCGAGCCGACTCGGATTATCGCTATCATGCCCCCTCAGACAGCACCAGCAGCTGGTCCGAGGAAGTCCTGCGCGATGTTGGTTTGGGCATCTCGAACTCATCGGGCGACACCATCCCCGCAGAACTCCCAGCAGACAAGCGCCATTCGACCGATAGCACTGCGACTACGACTCCAAATACCTACAATATTCCGGAGACTCCGCAGACTCCACATGCCCACTCCCATGTGCGGTGTCCCAACCGAGCAACTGTTCTCCAGAGACGTCTCTCGTGGGTCCCGTTGACGGTCTTGATTCTCGCTATCTATGCCACCATTTTCTCGGGTATCTATCTCGTTATTGCGCTGCGCAAGCCCCGATGGCGCAATATCTCTATCCACGGGCCGTTGGTTCCGTCTACGGCAGCTTTGTTGAGCTCATTTTTTGCGAAGACGATCGAGCTGGCATATGTGACGATCTGCGTCGCGTTTCTAGGACAGGTGCTTAGTCGGAGGGCTTTGATGAGGGATTCTCGGGGAATCAGCATTTCGGATATGAACATGAGAGCCTGGATTATGCAGCCCGGATCTATGATCGTGCATTGGGAGGCGCTACGATATTCGGCGCTCACTTTCCTCGGGTCGGTTGCATTAGTTGCGACGTTCGTGGCGATGCTATACACCACTGCGGCGCAAGCTTTGGGTAAATTACTTCTCTTCTTTCCACAAAGTATATCAAATATTAATCAACAGCAGTTGCTCCCAAACTCTCCTTTAGTCCTATCGAACCAACGATACTCCAGGGCAAGGTAGCCACCAGCTTTGCAAACACATATTACGTCGGACCAAACTGCGAGACACCCGTCACTGTCGCCATGGACTCCGAGTATCGCAACACGACCTGCCTCCAGATTGACCACGTCGGCCACGCATATCACAACTACCAGCAATGGATAACCCAATGGAGCCAGCTGGTAACCAGCAAGAACGAAACCTCAAGCCAACTCCGAAAGCGCCCACAGCCAACAGGCTCGCTCTGGGACAACACCACAGTAACAGGAAGCTGGATCGACATCCAAGACATGGCCACGCTCTCCAAGAAGCACAGTCGGATGGTCAACAATATAACAATGGCAATGCCGCACGGCGGCATCCCCGCCGCAGCAATGAACACCAAAAACAATCTCAAACAACCCATAGACACTTCCGGCGAAGGAAAATATAACATAGAAGCCTCCGTCCCCTCACCAGCCGTCAACGTCCTCTGCGCCGGAATGACCAAAAAGGAGCTCAGTCCCCTAGTCTACGCCTCCTGGCCCGGCGGCGACAAATTCAATGTAACAACCTGGAACTCCTCACCACCAGAAAACATACCCCATCCCGCAGACTGGAAAAACAGCACAGTCGTCGACTCACTCTTTCAATTCGGCCCAAAATACAGCCAAGTCTCACCCATTTTCGGTAAATATCCACTCCCATACAACACAATCCTCAACACAACAGGTGTATGGCCCGCAAACGCTATCTACCTCCTCGGCGCAACACCGCCAACCAACAACACCAACATGCCAGAGTACGTGATGTGCTCTTTGCGCGCGAAACAAACAGGTACATGCTCTACCAACTATTCCGCCGACACGAGCGGTGCATCCCTCAGCACGAACTGCGAGAACCCCTCAAACGGTCTACAGTACGACCGTCGCCAAGGCACGTACTACGAAGGCGTGTGGGAAGCAGACTGGAAGAATATCGCGTCCGAGTGGGGGAATTCCCTGAGCTTGAATGCGGGTATTTCAGACGGCGCGGCTAGTAACGCCAGACTGCTGATGCAGATGATGCCACGGTATGACAAGACCGAGGAGACTTTTACGCTGGACCCGACTATGCCATCTATTGCCGAGGCGTTGGCGGTCATGGCTGGGAGCACGCTTATCCTTAGCTCGCAGAATGCGCCGTTCGTTCCGTTCTGGAATTACAGTACCGAGAACAAGAATGTGCTTGCCGAGCCTGTTTACCAGATCTTTAATGCTTCTATCCAGGCTGTTGGGTATGCTTCCTTTGGGGCGGAGAAGTGGCAGGGGATATTCTACGTGATTCTCGTTTTTGCATTTCTGACCAGCGCTGTCTGTCTCGGGTTTATGATTGTCGAGGCGCGCGGTCGACAGGTGACTGATTTTACGGAGCCGCAGAATCTGTTTGCGCTTGCAGTGAATAGTCCGCAGACGAGTCGGTTGGAGGGTGCATGTGGATGTGGGCCTTGGGGAAAGCAGTTGAAGGAGAGGTGGTTTATTGGGATGGAGGAGGATGATGAGCATTATTATATTCGGAGTAAGACGGAAGAGAAGATTCCTCTTCTTCGGAAGACGGTGGATTCGATGCCTCTGGAGCCGATGGAGATTGAAGATGGCGGTGGGAGGATGCTCAGTCCCATGGTTGATGAGTTTAGGAAGGTCTCGAAGCGGCATTCGTTTTTGGCGAAGCTGTATTGAAGAGATATTTCCTAGGACATCTCCATGTGGGCGGTTGATCGCTTATGATGAACACGATTTACATACGATAATGGTTAATGTTTGAAGTAATGGATATGACGAAAGACGTTTCGAACGTTAGGGCATGGTTAGAGCATGCGCTTGATTTCAAGTGATTTACACTCAGATCGAGATATGTACAGATTAACATGAACACAACACAACACCCATACAAGAACAAGAACAACTAGATCGGCACAGTACAGGCACAGCCATGAAGTCAAATCAATGAAAAAAAAGCAACCGGTTCAACAAGTGTGGCATAACGCTAAGGAATCGCTCATACACACAAACATAAAACGAAGAAGATGCTAGATGCAGGTAAAAATGCAGCACCTCAAATGCAAAGACACAGAGCAATAGACTTTTCCAAGACACCAGTAGCCATGGAGATGCTATGAAAGGAATGAATGAGAGAGGTTGTAAGAGAGTCGCCAAATGATCTGGCGAGGTAGGTATTTTGGAGAAAAGATGAGGGAGTGTATGGGAGAGTTGGGCTCCGAATGGACTGTAGGTCGGAATATTGGGCGAACGTATGTTAACGATCAGCCTTGAGATTGAGCCAGCTCATATCTGAATTGGTATTGTTCTTCTTCCCTTGTATCGGAAGTTCGTCGATATCGTCTGGTATGATGACGCTTGATCTTCGTGCGTTGGACTGTCTTGCTCTGTCCGCGACGCTGGCATTCGATGATTCCCAGGGCATGTCATGCGTGCTCGACTGGTAGAAGCTGGTAGTGTAGTTGCTGCTTGGGGGACGTCCAAGCCAGCTGCTCTGGCCCGCACCTTGCCACTTTGAATCATCGCGGTCGTCGTCCGAGGCGATACTGATTGAATCTGCACTGGAGATTCGTGCCGATTGGCTCTCCGGAATCACTAGGCTTCGACTTCCCATGTTATGGGAACTGTGCTCGGTAGTCGGGCTGCCGCTGAGAACATGGCCAAGTGGCTTAGGCTGCTCGAGGAAGCCAAAATTCAATGGTGTCAAGGTAGACATCGGCCAGGCGCTTCCGCGGTAATCGGACTTGGTGTACACGGAACTCATAGTCGAGCGGTCGGATTGGAAGTTAGTGGCACCGCCGTCCTCGAAGTATTTTCCCCACCCTTCGTCGGTCATTCGATCAGCGGCTTGGTTTCCATGCCCGGTGTCATCGCCAGCCCGATAGTTGTCATCCGTGGATATGCTTGATGCGCCCATGACACCGCTGGATGGAATTGTAGAGAGCGGACTGCTACTCTTGGGCTGAGGAGACAATCCATAGCCTGTATTACCGGGTGGCTTGAGAGATTTCTCTCCTCTGTAGTTGCCGGAGAAGATAGCCAATGAGTCGACCGAAGCACCGGCGACTGGGACAGGAGATCTTGCCATAGGGTAAGCGCTTTCGGTCAGGGGTTCTATGCCCTGATCCTGGAAGCTTAGGCGGTCTTTTTTGTCGCCACCGCGACCAGGTTGGCCTCCCTGCTTCTTCTGTTTCTCGCGTCGCAGTAGGAAAAGGATGATGAGCAGGATCAAGCCAAACCCCAGGATACTCCCAAGAGTTGCGCCAAGAATCATTTTGCCATGATCAGTCAGGCCGCCTACAGTCGCAACTGGAGCTGATGAAGAAGTGGGCGTAGTTGAGGCTGAAGTCGATGTGGATGTGGATGATGAGGTTGATGTCGAAGTAGATGATGTGAATGATGTGGTGGTTGGTTTGAGGACATGTTGCTCTCCTTTTCCATAGAACAGCTCTGTAGAGTTGACCCATGCGTTGGAAGTTTGGTTAAAGATTGCCAATGAGTTGTTACTTTGACCACTGGCGAGAACGACCAAGCCACTACCCTGGGCAAGCGTATAATCAGACCAGGATGCTGTTGGGGCGAATGTGCCGTTGTAGGAATCGGTGAGACCCCTCTTTCCAGAGGATCCGATGGCTGTCACCGGGTTCTGCACCTTTCCTTTCGAGCTAATGAGGTAGCTCGTGACACTATTTGGGGAAGCGGCCATCTTAAACTCCTCGAGGACCTTAGTCCCGGAGTCGGAGGCGAGTGCGCATAGAGATGAGGTTTCGATTGCAGTAGGAAGAGTCGCCTCTGAGATGGTCCAGCCTTTTTTGTTTGTGGACTCGTAGATGAAGATAGCAGTATTGGTGGCAGATCCTCCAATCAAGGCTACCTCGGAAGAACTCCAGGGCAAAATGATGGGCTCATATAATGCCGGCGCGCCCTGGTCGAGCCCGGACGACACGGTAAAGGGGGGCGCTACGGTTGAAATGAGGAGTGTCGATTGAGAGACCTGGGTGCTGCCATCTGTGTTTCCTGCGTAAACCAATATTTGCGAAGTTGAGGGAATGTACCCAGCACCATGTCCAACCCGATCTTTCATCGGCGTTGAATCCAATGTCTCCCACTTCTGTGTACTGAACAAAAATCGTTGGAGACCGCTGTTTCCAGAGGAGCCGGTCCCGCCGACCAGATAAAATGCTTTTTTATCTTCGTCATTCTCATTCCCACCGATCCCACCTTGGACGCAAGCAGGGCCAGTAACCTTGTATTCTGGGGACGGGAGTAACTTCCATTCCCCATTCTCCTTGAGAGGTATTGATTGGAAGCCAGTCGGCGAATAGGAGTAAAGAGTGTTGCTGTGGACAGTAGAGCAATCGCCCTCGATCTTGAGTAGAGGTTTAGGGCCAGTCATACTGAAAATTTTTAAATGAATAGTTCAAAGTCGCGATGGATTCCGGACCAGGAGTGAAGGTGGGTGGCCAGCCAGCAAGGGACTTGAAAGACCCAAATTAGAGAAGAAAAGGTGACTGCCGGAGCACTATCTCATCTCGACCTAGGCAGTTGAGCTGAAAATGCCAACAAATCAAACTCGATCCGAGCGAGTTGACGCGACAACGGGCAACGTGAAGACGAGTTCTCAACTGCTTTCCGAGCGATCAGCTGCGATCTGAGATTCTCAGAGCGGAACTAAGGTGGATCGCGTATCGGATGACTCGGCGACTCGGGATGACACAATCAGAGTGGTGGTTCAGGGGTGTCAATAATGGGGATCTCAACACGGACGCGTCGTTCAACGAGGATGTCAAGTAATCACAAGGATCTGAGGGGCTGGGCGATCCAGTCCAGTCGATACGTGCGAGAGAAAAAAAAAAGGTAAGACCAACAAACCCCGATTAAGCGAATGAGGGGGTTGACGGAAAGAACGAATGACTAGAATAACAAAGTGCACAGCACAACTGTAAATGCAGACAGGATAAAAGGAGAGAACAGAAACAGAAACCACACGATCCTAGTGAAACAGGGAGAAGGGCCTCTCGACCCCCTAACGGAGGAGGTTAGCAGACGGCTTAGGGGGGGTTAGCGAACGACACCATCCCTTAAGGGGAATAATTTCGTCATTTTCAATTCGTTCGGTTTATTTTTTCGTTAGGTTTTTCTTTCCCGTTAATTTGGTTTATTTCATTTTGATTGGGTTTGAGAATCGTTCTCTCTACTTCATTCGTTCTTATTGGCTCTCTTGGCCTTCATCTATTCTCTTCTATACCTAGGTAGGTATTGATCAGGGGCTCTCCCGCGAGCAGTCCCGATGAAGTGGGACCACGCCTCTCGTGTACCTGGACCCCGTTTTAGGCATTTTGCACACTCCACTCGGATTTCCAATGCTTCTAGGGCGGAGCTCGGGATATATGGACTGCAAGGGAGACTGCAGATGTAATGCATAACAACACTAGTACGGAGTACTCTATACACCATAATAACAGTGCAAAAAATCAAAAAATCAAATCAAAAAATAAACAAACGCCCTTCCCTTGGAAGGTTCCCCCTCTCCAGACCCGTGGTTCCTGTCTGGTAGACCCATGGAAATTTTCAAACTCTGGCGCCTTGGCGTGCCACCTCCAAGGTTCTTCTACTATAATTGCATGTTGTACCTATTTCCAAGGTTCATATATGAGACTCTGCCGAAGTCTTAATATTAAGCAATATTGCCCAAAGGTATCGATTTTACACATCCATGGATATTGAATTCCTTCATTTCTCAAATCCAAGGTTCGACTCAGACATCATTAAAATTCGGCTGTCCTCGTTTGTAACCGCAAAGGGCTGGCCCTCACTATATCTACAAATTTCCAATTTTGATCGCAAGTGTACAGCATATAGACTGGTTTCAAGTTCATAGAACTACCGAGCGTCAATGTTATACTAACTCATCCCCATATGGCATGTACGCCAGGGACCTAAAACCACGAGCTTCTGTGATCATTCCATGCCCCTGTTGTGCCCCAGTCCAAAGGTCAACGATTACCCCACGAGCATGTGTTGGTGTCGTAGAAATCCTTCTTGCAAATGTCACAAGTATAATCGACAGGTTGATCTGCAATATTGCCCCCCCCACTGTTCAAAAAAAAAGATGGTAGTTAAAGTCCAGCAATTGACGTCGATAGGAGCGAGAACTTACTATTCTTGGTAGGATTCGACGATACCTAGGTATAAAATCGGCGCTGGCTTGAGCAGAATTGTAGTATCAACTGGCTGTAGCCGAGGATATAAAGATTGCGTGTAGAAATTAGTTAGAGCAATGCTTGTTGACTGGTGGGCTCGCCAATTGAAAGCTCATAAAGGTCGAGAATCGGTAGTGTCTTCATAGATGTGCTATATCTATGATCCTCAAGGAATACGATTGTTTGTCTTTACACGTTTGTCATGTGGGCTCATTCCCTATTCGGGAATTCTAATGCCGCATACCACGGCTCGCTTGATATATATATGTATATCTAGATTGACCCTAAATAGCATCTACTAATAAATCCTTCAGGAGTCACCTAGATATCCTACCTTTGCTAATTGTTTCAGTACACAAATCATATTCATATATAGATGTCTCCGCTGATTGTAGTCTGGTTCAGGACATGCATAAAAAAATCCTAATAGTGAGATTCTCTGAAACCAAGGTTGTTATAAATGACTTGATTGACAAAGACAAATTAAAGACTCGAGCCGTCTGACGTTTCTTGCAAGAATTTAAATGGCTTTGATTCATTCCTCGAATTAAAGCATGTCACATGTTTTAATTGGGGTAAACGATTACGGACTACGGAGAATAGGAGAATAGGTTCCAACTATGCAGCGGCGAATAGGCATCAACGTATCATCTAGCAATCCATGGATGACATATCGCTTATGATCGACAGGTAGTTGTGGATATCTCATATCCAGCATCAATATGACCATCAGAGTCGATATTTCGAGAATCATTAACCCATTTAATTAAATTTTAGTTAACTCCAATCCAAACGGAGTATATATACTAGATATCGCTATACAGGGAATCTCCATATGTACAGTGAAAGGACCTCGGGATGAGGGGTTGGGCTATGGATTGTGGGGCAGTGGAGCTGTGGATATGTCTGTTCCTGAGACCTGTGGGAATGTCTCAGTTCTCCGTGTTTTGAATAATGTTAGAGTTTTGATATCTTCAAGAATTGCGTACATGCTCCGTACCTATTCTTATCTCATGATCTATGTACTTGATAAGCCGTTCTAGTAGAAATCCAATCAAGCGAATGTATGGCAGATATCTTCATGTTCAGCTTATGCAAAACATTCGCCCAATCTCTAATCCAGCCGACACAAATATAACGCTACAGATACATACTACCAAGTCAATTACCCGCCCCGCTGGAGGATTACCACCCGGGATGCAGCACTTGTACAAGATAATGGCAACTGATGTGGTAGCCAGCATGCACGACATCCATACCGCATACTTTTCTAGATGCAGTGGGCGGTCTCATTTTGAGGACACTGCGTATCGGTTAGTGCCGCTTAGCCGGCGACACCAATTCGATCGAAAAAGGGGAGTTTGGGTCGGTTTCATTGTCACAAGCAGATATCGGAAATGGTATTCTGGTCTGATGATTATAACACATGAAGTCTGTTCCCGTAACCATGGGATTTGCATAGATTTTTCACCATAGAAAGTATCCAAAGTGTCAAGGCAGTGGAAAATCTGGGAATCAATTGATTTTGTAAAATAAAAGCTACCACACGCTCTAGGATTGATTCTGCTGCTTCCATTGGTGTGCCTTTTGGAGCAGACGAGAAAGATTGGCAGCAGATTGATCGTCTGCAGGGAACACAAAGTCTGTGTACTCCTCGTATTGGTCGTCCGCCAACTTGCGGCGCTTCGTAACGCGTCGGGGCTGCTGTTTTTTGACCTTTTCGATATCCTCGGGCGATCCATATGCATTTTCGAATGCTAGCCAAAGGCCGAGAAGAGATTCGCGCTGTGAATAGGTTAGAATAGACCGAACATTGTGTGGATTATGGGAACAACAACTTACGTCTTCCTTGAGATCCTTGTCTTTGAACAGCTTGTCTGCCCGAGCAAAGACCGCACGCGAGCGGAGTAATGCCTCTTCGCTGGGCGGCTTCACCTCGTCCTCTTCCTCTTCTTCCTCATCTTCCTCGCCTGGCACAGAGGTCTCGAAGCGAGCGTAGTTGACCCATACCTTGACGTGATCGGTCTTCTGGAGGAGACGTTCGTACAATTGTCGAACTCGCTCATACTCGGATTCGTCTTCTTCAAAGTCGATGTAAGCCTTCCACACAAGCTCGGGCATGTCGAGTGTGGATTGCTCGATGCCAAGCTCGAAAATGGCCCTCGCCCGTTCCGCGTCGTCCAGTTGACGCTCCAGCTCCGCGAATTCTATCCACGACTGGCTGTTGGAGGGGTTCCATTCAAGTTGTTTCTGGAACAAAGTACGGCATCGCCCGAACTCGTACATCCGGTGTTCAATATCGATATAGCCACGGAAGATTTTGTCTTTTGGACACATTCCAATCGCCTGGCCCAATGTCTTCCGTGCCGCTTGTAGCTGCATTTGGCGAACCTCAAACTGTGCCTTCATGAGCCAGACTTTGCCAAATGTGAACTTCTTGTGCGGGATAATCCTCAAGCATTCCTGGTAGATTTGCCCGGCGCGTTCCATCTCCTTTGCTTCCATTTCTTCCCACACAGCGTAAAAGATCCAGAGATAGATATAGCGGCGCCAGTGCCTTTTCTCTTGTGACGGGGGAACCTGTGCAATGGCCCGTTCGTAGATGTCCCGCACCCGCTCTGGGTCGCCTGAAGTTTCCTCCAATCGTGCAAAGTCGAACCAGATATCATAGTTGCGAGGGTTCTCTTTGAGCTGCTCTTCATACTGAACTCTGCGCTTGGACAGAATCACATCCTCCACACCTTCGCGATCACCGTATTGCTTTTCGAAGGTCGTGTAGGCCTTGTGAAGGACCATAGCCTTGGACCGCGGAAGTCGGTCTAAGGCGTATTTGTAAATCGCTCGTGCGCGCTCATACTCCTTCAACTTAGCCTCGAATTTGGCATATGCGGTAAAGAGCTTCTCGTCCATGAAGTCCTCCCCTAACGTTTCGATAGCCACACCATAGACCTCGCGAACCAAGTCACTTGTGCCATACTCCTCCTCGAAGCGTGCCCATTTGATCCAATTCCGGGGTTCGGGGTGGACGACAGTAAATCGCTGGAAAATGGCGCGTGCTCGTTCGAATTCGCTATATCTCTTTTCCATTTTGATGTATGCACCCCACGCACCCTCTTCCGGCTCCCATGACATCCATCGCTCAAACACTTGACGGGTACCGGGGATGTTGCCTAGTGTCTCCTCCATGTAGACA